GGGCTACCGCCCCCCCCCGCCCGGTATGCCTATGACCCAATTTTGCTACCTCTGCCGTCAGTTTGCATAGCGTTTTTATGTTCTTAAAGGAAATTTTCCATTGCAGTCGCTTTGCCCGAGCGGGCGGAGCGAACATTACTCAACTTTCTCTGTAGTTGTCTATATCCTGTGCATTTTTTGTCCGTCTGAATGCTCGTGGACACGCCATGCATGAAAGTAGAACTACATTCAACTTTCTTGGCGTGCCCACGCAACTGAATTTATGGAAAAAATAGGTACGCAATGCGTACATGTTGCATGCCATCTGAAACCTTATGACGCACTATAGCGCTTATAACCTTTGCTACAACTGGCCTGTGAAAGTTAAAATATTGATTTAATATATAAGTTTAATATAAATATATTTAGTGAGAAATAGTTCTTCATTCTCACGCAAATAGGCAATGTTTTTATAAGCGACCGTTCATCGTTAATTGCAAGCGACGGTAATAACAAGGTCAAGAAGGTTTTATCGAAAACGATTGACTGTTAGATTTCCTTTACAAATTTATAACTAAACAAGATGCCTGCTTAGGCGTTCACGCTGGCCTCGTGGTTGATAAAATACCATCACAAATTCACAATATTCCAAAAATAATTTGAAATATCAACTGTAGATGTTCTTGACGGCCGTCACTTCATGATCACAACAATCAAAGTACGGCAAAATAAAAATCCATGCAAAACCAACAAGAGTTCAGTGATATGTTATCGAAAACACAGAAAAAGATTAAGCGCATGCGCAATGAAATATAATAAAATACGTCCCACAATTACAGCGTCTAAGATTTGTAACGTAGTTAAAAACGAAATTCGTTCGTAAACTGTTGTGTTGCATTACTACATAATATTGTATCCAAATAAGAATTTTGTTTGATATTTATATTTCATGTTATTTAGAAAATGTACTGCAGTTTTGAAGTTTTGCAAACAATATAATCAGTGCGAGCACAATGCTACGTTTCAGTTTGAGTATATAAAAATTGAGTATTTTGATAGCGTGGTTTTAAAGTTTCACGATATATAAATAAACGCGATAAATATAAAATATCAGTGCGCACACAACGGCTTCAAAATCACAACAAATAACAGAATATAAAGTAAGTTAAAAACAGCAAAGCTTTCCCTACCTCGATCTATTTTTCTAAGGCGCTCAATTATGTAAATTTTCGGCGAATAATCAATATTTTCTTTGTGTTTCCTCGACCGAAACTCATGAAAATGCTCGTCGGAAAAACTCGGCATTTGTCGTTTTTCTCGAATCTGCCACGTGATAATGACCACCGGTACGCTCATGACACGAAATTTAGAGCTATATGAAAGTTGCATGCCATATATGGCATGCAACAAAAATGGAAAATGTCCGTATTTGGGGAAAAATTGTGATATGTCGCGAAAAATTTTAAAATTTCGGAAAAATTATGATATATCCGGAACAATTTTTTATATGTTTGGAAATGGAAATTTTTTGTATGTTGGGAAAAGAAATACTAATTAGTGACTCGGCAAATGTGACTCGAGAAAGCCATAACCGTTGATAAATATTAGGAAACTCCGCAGTGACGTAGGATTGTTATGTGTTAAACGGTTATCTAAAATCACCAAAACGCGATAAAATAGCGCGCGTAAAATCCTTAAAAATTTAAAATGGCACTTAATACACCGACTCTAGAATTTAAGACGGCCAAAAACATTTTCACATAATAAACAAACTTTATCAAATTGCTTGCCCCCTCCTGGGATTTTTTCGCCCCTTCCCCCTTGACTAAAACTCCTGGCTACGTCACTGAAACTCCAATTTATGCCTGATGTTTTCACAATATAATGTAACGTGAGAACTACCGTTAATTACCTCTTTGCGTGTCACCCTAAAGTATGGATTGATGTAAGCAGCAAGTTGTCTATGTTCGTTTTCTTCCTCGTTAGCTAGTGAGGAAGAAGACGTCTGACTCAAGCGAAACTGCAAGTATTCAAAAAAATATAAAGTCATTCACAAATATAAGCAGTTTACATCCCCCGGTCAAAATTGCATCCATAAAATTAATTAAAAGCTTGTGTATAGTAAAGCAAGTTTGATTTAAGGATAAAATAAATCACATTAAAAGTACTACACTACCTACTGTAACAATTACAAGTTAGTATAGAGCGTTTGCACATGACGTCACAGCCGCCATGTTCGTGTTCAATTCAAAATAATTTTAATTAGACTCTTTTGTCTGGATTACCAACATGGCCGCCATGACTTTTGTTGAGTTGGTCCCTGGGGAATGAGTGCAAACGCTCTATGGGTAATAGGATGGTTTCGAGTGCAATTTGGATAAAGCATGCACGAGCGAGTTTTTCAAAGACCTCAATAAGCACTCGTCCTTCGGACTTCTGCTATTTTGATGCAAATTTCACCATAAACCATTCTATTACGTAATAATAACATACATAAAAATGTTCGAGACAAGTGTAGTTTTAGCTTACGTTTATAGCGAAACGTCCACTGAGAAACTGACAAAGTTTCCCTGCATCGTTATATCACATTATATCACATTGAAAATTTCCCGAATATACGTTTTGTTTGAGGTAATGTCTTTTCATTTTAAAAATAGATAAAATTAAATGCCATATTTTCCACCCGAACTCAACTTTCACTTATGAAGCAATCTGTGACCGTTATTTGACGACTGCTTTCAGCTGATTGGTTCATTTTAGATCACATTGTTTTTTTCACAAGTCAGATCCGTTTGTTACATATTTTTGCATTGTTGTTACAGAATTTTGCACTGCTGTTAATAACACTGAAAGCAACCAATCACAATCGAGGAATATTTTTATGTCTATTATTACACTACTCACTAGTAATTATATCCCATATCATCCAAGACCCCTTTTCTGTCCCGTAAAGGAGGGGGTTTAAACATAGACCTTTGGGTTTTAAGATGCATAAACTAGCCAGACGAAATAAAATAATTTTACTTTACTTGTTGTTCTCTGTTTTCAATAATTAATTTCTCGATTTTCCTCATTTGTACTTCAATGATTGCCTAAAAGCGAAAACTTTCATTACAACACAATTATATACGTTTGATGTTAATGGATCGTGAATATAGTGATAGTATTTTTCGAGCAGTTTTTTAAGGTGGTGGGCTCCTTAAGTATGTAATATGGTGATGGACCTTCAGTATGCAATTTCATAACAATATAGGCATAACAATTAGCTGGGAAAGTTTAGGAGAAACAATCTAATTGCAACAAATAGTCTTCATCGATCTAGTCCTCAGGACATAAGTATACCTCATGAAATCACTTTTGTGCACGTAAACTAAATCATAGCCCATTGAAGGGAAGATGGCTGTGAAACTCATTAGAATAACACTATAACTCATGTATGTTAGTCAACGTTTATTCATAAATATGGTCCTTCACCGTCACGTGTGTAATGTACTTTTCCTAACAGTCGGGATAATTTTTGCGATTTGTTTGAAGTGAATGTTTTGGAATTGTCCGTGAATATGTTTGACACAGTAAAAGAAATAAAGGAATCCTATCTTTCAAGTTAAATACAACATTTTTTGCTTTCTGGGGACAATTGTTTCCAATATTTCATCAATTTTGAAACCAAATTTGCCGATCGTTCTTTTTGAAAAGCATTATTTACTAATCCGCTGGTAAATAATGCGTCAGATTTACCAGTCAACTAGCCAATCAGAACGCGCGAAAGCTCAATGGATATGCAAAATTTATACTAACGAGTTATATTGTTATTCTAATGAGCTTCATTTTCCCGTTTAATACGTCGAATTTTGGTCGCGTCGAATGCAATTAAGACAATAGATAATGAGATGATAGCTATATTGTTTGAATTGCATTCGACGTAACCGAAATTCGACGTATAAAACAGGCCTAAATTGAATGCGTTTTCCGGACCAAACAAAAACATTTAGAAACTATGCATGCAAATTATAATCAAGAACACTTGTGTACAGAACTTAATAATGTTAATTGGGAGCCGTTATGAAACACAATAGAGAGTTTAAGTTCGACTTCCGATACCAATACCTATTCTAACAACATGTCACGCGCATGCTCTCTGCTTGCAAGAAGCACGAGGACAAGTGTATTGGAAGTCACCACTACCGAAGTCGGCCTTGTATTGGAAGTCGTGGGAATTGTAAGATAAATTCATATAAATCGGATATTTCATAATTTTTACGATATTTTTTTGTTTATTAGCATCGCAAGAGTAATGTTTTAGTCGGAATTTTAGTTCAGTTGCAGTTTAGTATACCGCACATTTTCGGTAACGATTAATGTGTTCTATACTTTAATTATCTGTCGTGATAACTTAACGCTTTAAAATTCCCGGTACCAAAATGAAAACGGAAGTGAAAACATTGGTATCGGTATTGGTATTGGAAGTCGAACTTAAACTCTCTAATGACTCCACTGCATGGGAATACCGATATGGAAGCTGGAATGATTGTCTGTAGAGTGTAGAGCAGAATCGAGAAATAAAAACCCCAATTCATCAACGTGACTCTCTTTTCAAGCAAGACGTACTAATATAGTAATGAGGATTGGATGATTAATAGACGGTCACGTAATCGCGTCACCAATCTTATCCGTTATTTTAAAAGTAAATATAACAAAGAGCTTATTGACGAGAATAGTGATAATCCCAATAATTTTTGGAAAACTGTCAAGCTCTGACCTCAGACGAACAAGAAATATAGCCCGTATAAGTTTAATTATCATTTTATTGAAACAGTATATAGATTTTGTTAAAAGTTTGGCCGCCGTTCATTATTCCTATAACAAAGTCACAAAAAAGCCAAAGAATATATGGTAAAGGAACGTTTCACGTATGCTCAGCTGCGTGGAGAAGCTTAAATCTAGTAAGGTTGTTGGCCTTGATCAAATATACCGGCACGACTACTTAAGGATTCTGCCGAATGATTAAATGGATATACGTACATGCAGGAGTTTATTTAAGAAAGACCGTGGTTAAGGAAATCCAGTTGACGTAATGTGCCCTGATGAAGCTCAAAATGAAAGAAAGTAGACGGTGTTTGTAAAAATCTTCCTTCTCAGGATCAAGCAAGACAAAAACCAAATGGAGGTAGCAACACAACGATTTCGAATCAACACGTCGAAAAGATAAGATTTGGAAGTGTCAGGTAAAGGAAATTCTCATTTATCGCACACGATCCGGAATACTAGTTAAACCACCACAAAGACTCAATTGTCCTTTAGTTTAGGTAATATTGTAGATTTATACGCCTGTATTCTAAAAGCTCACTCACACTCAAAGAGTCATGGAGGTTCAATTGGAGCTTCCCTTGACTGTCAATGCTGTTTTTGAATAGCTGGAGGGTGAGTATAGTCACATAGTAAGGTACGACACTAACCCTCCAGCTATTCAAAAACAGCATAATTGACACCAAAGGGAAGCTCAGACTGAACCTCTACTCTTTGAGTGTGAATGAGCTTTTAGAATACAGGCGTTAGTCTCGTAAGATTAGAAATTATTTTAGAATACCAAATTTAATTGACATTTTAAGAATTAAATAAGAAAGGAACAAAATGCGCTTGCATTATGTAAGTCCACGGTGCTATGATCTATATACTGGCAGCCATATTTGTATAAATTATACATTTCAGTAATATCTCAATAAAGTTAGCTCCTGTTAAACGAGAATGAGAGTTAATTAGAGTTGGTCACGAATTGTTACAGGGGACATTTCAAGCTCTAGATTAACAAAATAAAGTTCTGATGCGTATTCCAACTAAGTAATTTAAATAAGGTATTCTGTGGATGATAGTGTTAGGAAAGCATTAATTTAGGAACAGCCTACTAAGGTGGCGTAACAGCCAACTCTCATGCACTGTCAACATCGTTTGATCTGAGCTTTAAACTATAATTATATTAATATATGTTAGTTCAATTCTCTCAAACTCTAGCCTGATCGCGGGTCAAATTTTATATCAACTCAAATAGCGCGATAAAGGTCTAGTTGCAAAAATAAATCGGTACACCTGTAATTGATCATTGTTTACCTAATTTTATATACAGTATATGTACAGGAGTTACTAATGTGAATTTTCCTTCATCTTTATAGTATATCCTTTGCACTAAAATGGGAGTTAAATTTCAAAAATCTTAAACAAAGCGAGACCAAATATATCTACACATTGTTGGGCGCGATGACTGTAGCTATCGACGTGAAATATTTCGATTGCGAGGTATATTTTAAATGTAAACCATTTGCATCTAAAACCTGGTTCAGGTGTGCCAGTTGTCGGAGGAATGCTCCCCCAACCACATGATTGTAGCGTTATATATGTATATATAGATACACGTCACATATACTGTACCTGATATTTTCTATTCAGTTTCAGACATCGCTGCTGTTCACTCAATTCTTCACTATCTTCCTCATCACTTAGCAAAACTTCTTCCTCATCATTTAGCAAAACTTCTTCCTCGTCATCAGGCATCCCAGTTTCGGTGAGCGCGGCTGGTTCTATATTCGCATTCTGATCAGCAGTATCCAAAGTGCTTTGAAAAGCGTCCTGTGGAAACTGGCGATTATTTTCAACTGGCTGAAGTTCAGTCAAAGTATAGTCATCACTATTATTCGTTTTGTCAAGTACCGAATCAGGTTGCTTAGGACTTGTTGACGATTGTGTGACAGGGCTACCTTGAGCATTTTCAATGGTGGTAAGCGACTTGTTGGAGACAGGTTTCAGAAACAGTTCACATTCATTTGCTGAATTATTAAGTGCAACTATCGCAGATATCTGATAAGTAACATTTCCATCGGGGGAGAAATCTGAATCACTTGGAACACTTGCTGGAGGTGTATGTTTCTTTCTAGTACTTTCAAGAATTTCATCTTCACTTTCAGATGAAATGACCTCAAAAGGGACATGCTACACAAGAAATAATAAAGATCATAATATACTCGCAGAACGATAATCGTTTCATTTGAGTCAATGCACTATGACGATTATCACAAAAAATTGGAACTAATAAATCTAAGTGTCTACGGTACACACAGACAATATTATCAAAATAAGGATCACAATAGAACATTGTAGTCACAAGAACTGGGCCGCGCTTCATACATGAATGAAAACATGCAGGCGCCTGGTTAACCTAGCTACAACTTTTCTATGTACAGTATGCATGTAATTTACCACATAGACGGATTTTGTGGGGAGATGCAGGGGGTGCTACCCCCCAATATTAGCTATAACCCCCAAACAAAATGTCCACCCCTCCAAAAAAATTTTCAACACCCCCACCCCGCCGAACGTGCAGAGTGTTGATGATACAAAATAAACGTAGGAGTACACTCAAATAGAAAAAGACAGTGCAATACTCTGAAACTAATCGCTCCTCGCTTGCATTCACTGGTTTATTGGAGCAATTGTAAAATTTTAAAACTCTATTATCTCCCCTGATAGAGTTTGCAGTGCCTTGTCATGCAAATAGCTTGCTTGCAAGGAACGTTTGGAATTTTTACGAACATTATTTTTAGTTTTTAATTCTTTTAGGAAATAGACTTGCCTAGATTTAATCTTTATGCCCCAAATATTATTTACATCGGAGTTGCATCATAAATTGTACTCGGATTCAAACGACACAATGTCAATGACTTTATAAAAGTAAAAGCATATTGTGTATTGGCCTATTGGGTTTACACTTTTACAGGTTCATTTAACTTTAACTTAACTCTCTCAAATCTCAACAGACAATCGGACATGCCAAATCTATTGATATGACAACTTCAAAAAACTTTTTTTCGAAGCTAGAAATCATGATTTTTTCCCAATTTTTCCAGAGATACTTTGTTTTCTGCTCTCTAGACTCCCCCCCCCCCGCGGCTCTAGTGCTCCACCCCTAGAATATAGACCTTACTGGGGTTTGGTGACACTTTGTGTTGCTTCAGTCACCTGCTCACGGCTCACCGCCCTAAAATTTCTGGCACCACCCCAGTAAAAAATATGAAAATCCGTCTATGATTTACCATCCCATGAAGTAACCATACTAGTAAAAACCTTGTATACACAAGTGACAAAATACAATTCAATTGAATTACTATTTTCCTGAAAACCTTAATTTGTATCTATGTATCTAGCTGGGTTTTTTTTTTGTTAACTCGTATACCGTATACCGTAAACAATTCCTTAGCCTTGCCGAAACCAAAACAAAGGTGCTTCTAGGCACTTTTTTCGCGCACAAACAGTACTACAACAAGAGTCAATGACACATGTCTGCTGCAAACATTGTTCAAAACAATGAAACTTGGAACCAGCAGATGGGGGATCTCTTTCCACTAAATTTCATCATTCCACAGGCCTCGGAAAGGCGTTCAATCAAGTATGCCTGCCTAAATAATACACATTTGCATGCACGGGTCTTTTGTTATGTGCCTTTTTCAAGATCAAGAAACGATTGTACCCTGTAAGGACATGTTACGTATATGGTACTGTCATTACGTGCAGCCATAACCTGTGATCAGGCCTGTAAATAAATAAATAGGCCTGATACAAAACTTAATAAAAGTCCATGCATGCCTTACAACCGTATTTCGGTTGTAAATGTGATTTGTCTATGAGTCAAATATTTTTTAATCTGTTACTTGATTGGTTGGTGCTGATTAGATTATATACTATTGTTGATGATACATAGTGATCACAACTATAATTAGATTGTTGTTGTCGTTGTGTGGAATTTAAATTTCTCCTGCGACATTTTGATTGGATACTAAGTATAAACTTTGCTGTGGGTGGAAAGCTATATTGGATTAAGGTTTGTGTGAGGCTATATTTGTAAATAGAGCCTGATCTCAGGTTAGTGCCGCCATTGCTCACCCTCATTCAACAGCTTATTAGTCCTATCTGGAAATTGGTTTCACCAATTAATAGAGGTTCAAATTTGACTTCCACTACCACTACCTCTCACTGGTTTAATACTCTCATTGGTTAATCGGGTAGACTAAACGCATTTCATTGGGTAGATTAAATCCGGTAGATTAAACGCACCTGATTGGTTAATGGTAGCGGCAACGGTAATGGAAGTCAAAATCTGAACGTCCCTAAAGCACGCGGTACAACAGAATGACATCTGCGTATCCAGACATGCCTAAAATGCCATGGAGTGCTCAAACATGCAAGCACAACATTACGATTGGACATAACTACAGTATACTATGTATAATCATATCACCTGTGCTCGATATGTTTCATCAGTTCTTTCTCTGTATTCAGGTGATTTGATAATGGCTACACAAAAATATATTTGACAATTTCATTGGGACTGAAAATTAACCACTGCAAACATTTTACGCCTCAAATTTCATAAATAATTAAACTCATACCAGCTTTTTTACGACACAGTAATTCATATTTTAGGCGGAGGGGAGAAGTCAGTAAGTTTAACAGGTTATTCATTTTAGGAAAATGTTACGAGAGGCTGTGTAAACAAAATCAGATGGACGTGCATGTAAACAAAAATGTAAATCACACTGCAAAATCATAATAAAGGAATATACATGGAATGTATGAGGACAAATAAATATAAGGCACACTGCTGTTGAAGTCAGGCATAGCGGATGAAATTAAGCATGGGGAAAACGCTCAATAATACCATGGGATGGACCGTGCCAAGTTTGGAAATGAGACACATTTCATGTCTTTGAGGCTATCATTGCTACCAGAAATGGGACACAGGGATATATCGAATCTTTGTATCGGAAACACTGTGAATATCTGGCAGCAGGTTGCTTAGCATCGTTGCCCCTGCTCCCAAACCTTGTCCTCAAAAGTCCTACACTTTCCCAAGGTGAATACCATTGTGGAAAATGGCCAAGGATAGGGTCAAAGTAAAATCGTGCTTTGAATAGAGATGATCTGCACCTTGTTGGCAGATGACGTCATCTCTCAAGTGTATACTGTAAGAAGCTCCGTGTTGCGACTTCAGGTCACTCCTGATGAGTGATAAAGACACTAAACTGAAATGTTGACACGAATGTGAATGTAAAATTTATTTAAAAATCGGAGTGGCGGGCGAAAACATGACTGATATTAAACCTGGTTGCCGTGAACTCGCAAACTTTAACTATATTACATATATTATGGCAATTCTATTAACTTTTCGAACATGAGGTATTGCTGAGGTATGATGAGATGATAATGAGGTATTATTGAACTTTCAGCACCGACCAGTTTCCCGGCAGAGTCTTAATAATTTCCATCTTTCCATCATATTTAGTGCATTCTGTTAATTAATTATTACAGTGATATTAAAGACATGGTATAAGATTCCTTGTTGCCAAAGAATTCCAAAATTTAGTACCTAGCAACTGCATGGACTTATAAACACGGAATTGCTAAAATCGTCAAAACGAGCTTCAAAAATAGCAACGCGGGATTCGGGAAGCATTCTTAGCTTTTGTCCCACAAAAAAATGACCGACTACTGTCTACGCGTAGCAAGCATGGGACTCCCTGTCACCTGCAATATTTACGTGCTTCAACGACACTGCTATCATCTTCCATTTTGATATATCGAAGAATGCTGTCAACATCAACGACATCTTTCGGTCTTGCAAATCACCGATGGATCATGATTACACCTTCCTCGAAGACCAATGAAGTAGGCCATGATGCTTTGTCTCGAAGGCTGACAAAGTGTGTGCCATAGATTCTTGTCAGTTGTAGCACAGTAATATCGAGACTTGTGGCAGGTTTCTTAACCTTTTCTTTTAGGGTACCAGATTCTTTCAATAGGTTGTATGTAGATTGTCAGGTGTAAAGCTGCTCGGCTTTTGGGACAACTGGAGCATTCATAGCATCTTTCAGAGCCAGTTAAATACATGTCAACCATAGATCCTTTAATTGGGTCTGAACTCTCTTGTAGATTCTGAAAGCCAACGCCTTTCTTGATGGAATCAGCGTCTGACCCTCCAAGTCATCCATCTCAGCTAAAGATGTCATAAAGTACTGTAGCATTCATTACAAACTCCTTGTTCCACTCTCATACGGAAAACTTATTTTTCACTTCAGATATTCCTTGACATACGCGCATATTTGGCAAGTGCCACCTTTTCACTTATCGTGTCAGCAATGGAAGTGATACTGTAAATTCTCTTGCCGCGCCTTTCTATTTCGCTTCCCTTTGAAAAGATGGACTCTACTTAGTTTTTGAAACTTTATCAAAACCGAGAAATGGCCGGCTTAACGAACGCCATACTTGACACAATAGATAGCTTAAGATCTACGACGTCGACGCCAGCTAGGACGTCAGGGCTATAAAGCATAGGACTGGGACGTCGTCCTAAATAAATAAACTTCCACTTATATATTAAGTTTTACGACTTAGACATTTAAACTATAAAAATTTACATACTTTTGAAAATGAATTTAAAAGAGCGTGTGAATCCATTACCGTTTGTTATGCTCTTGTATTTACGACGGTAAAACTCTTGTTGTGAGGTTGGCGACGTTTGGTGAACGACGAGCAAATTGAGAGAGACACATGCATACTTCAAAAACTATAACCAATTCACTTCTGCTTGCCGCCCTAAATATTTGACGTCGTAGATACTTGAGCTATCGACTT